ACAATTTTATAATATAATTATTAATTTATATCAATTTCGTGTATCTTAAAGTTTTGCTCAATATCACATCCAATATTACTTATTATTACCAATGATCTGATTTGTTCTTGATTTAGGACTGAGTCTATGTATCCATATATATCATGATTTGATTTGTTCTTGATTTAGGATGATTTGATTTATTTTTGATTTAGGATTGAGCCTATGTATCCATATAAATAGAGATTGCTCAAGAACAATTAATCATAATTTTTTTTCCAAATATTTTACATATAACTACAAATTCAACATGGTATATGAAAGTAGGTATGGAAGTGACAAGTTAGACGGCGGTTTTTGGCGAATGCTCAATCACAGAGTAAGAAGAAGAAATATCGACACACTCCTGAACAAACTCAAGAGCTTGAAAACTTCTTCAAGCAGTGTCGTCATCCTGATGAGAAGCAAAGATCTGATCTTAGCAAAAAGCTTGGTTTGGAGAATAAGCAAGTCAAGTTCTGGTTTCAGAATCGACGAACTCAAGTAAAGACACAATTGGAGCACAATGAGAACATGATTCTAAGGCAGGAAAATGAGAAACTCCAGGCAGAGAACAATCTGATGAAGCAAGTAATGTCAAATACAATATGTAGCAATTGCGGTGGCCCAGCAATTCCTAGACAAATTTCAATGGAGGGACACCAGATTATAATTAAGAATGCTCTACTCGAAAACGAATTGAACCGAGTGTATACCTTGTACAACAAGTTACTCGGCCACCCAATCTCGGCATTGGCCTCTACGTCCATGCAGACTCAAAATTCTGATTTTTTACTTTAATATCTAGAATTTGTTTCAATTCTCCTAGAAAAACTATTGACTTTTCGAATGTTTGGGAATGTGATTCTTAATAAAAGTCCTACAAAAATTTTTATTTAAATCTCATGATTTCACTACATATATCCAAACAAGATAAATATTGGTTTTGGTATAATTTTTCTGAATAATTTTTTTTTTTTTGTTTCTCTACTTTTTCAAATTTAAAATAACATATCAGTAATTTTGTTATTGATTTTTGCAAATTTGAGGCAATAGACAATGTTTTACTACACGTCTATTTTTTTTCTTCAAATTTTATTGATTTAAATTTTTCAAGATCTACAAATCTCTCTTTTTCTACTTCAATATTGATTATGGTATATATATTTCTTTGGTATGTCATTTTATTGTATTTTATCTCTATTTTTTCAAATTTAAAATAATATTTTATTAATTTTTATTAGTGACTTTTATATAAATAGTAATTTTTATTTTTTTTATCTCTAGTCATTTTATATTTAAAGGTAATAAAGCTCGTTTAAATTTTTTGTTACCTATAAGTCTATCATCATTATTGAAAATTATTATACATTATTGAAGAATCACAATATCATTTACGAAGATATATTAAGAGCTAGGGTAAGGCTAAAATGTGCCTTAAGGCACATGTTAATAAATTTATATATAAATAATTTGTATTGAAAAAATAAATAAATTATAAATTACTATAGATTTTTAACAAATGCAATGTATAATTTCCCAAAAAAAAAAATATTACTACATTTAGCATTATCCTAAGAACTATTATTGATTGTAACCAAAAAATTTCATTAGTGTAATCCTTTAATAATATATCTTAATTAATATGTAATTAATATTAATAAATTGTAATAGTACACTACATTATTCTAATTAATTATTACATTGAAATTAATGGTTAATAATATATTAATATCGAAGATAATTTATTTCAAATACAACAATACTAATTTACATTTAAAAACAATAATAAATTACTAAATATAAATAAAATGGAGTAATCTAAATCACGCCTGAGCTGAGTTGAATATATGGATTCTGTTATGATTTAACAGATCTAGAATATTCTGGGACTATTATGTAATTTTATGTGGCGTTGTTTTATAGGTCTTGAAGAATCAAGTCAGGATATTGAGTTTCTAAATATGGAGATATTTTAATGATTGAAGACTTTGTTTATAATATAAGTTTATGTTGATTTGTAACAGTTGATATGTTGTGATTAGAAGCTCAAATCCAGTTGGGAATAGGTTATAAATAGAATGTTTGTAACCTAGAAAAAGTACGGGTCCAAGATGTAGAAGTTTAGGGATTTGTCTTTGTGCCGCTCTCTAGGAGAGTTGGTTTGTGTTCTCACTCAAAAGCTTGTAGGTAATGAGTTGATTATTATTATTGGAGGAAGCTTGTAAGCAAATCGAAGTTGTGTTCTTAGTCAAGAGTCTTGGCTGGGTATTTTCATGGAAGTGAGTCTTCTAGTTTGCTGTCATGGAAGTGTGTCTTCCTGTTTTGTCCAATCGTTGTATGTGATTGACGAGGGATTGAGAACGGCCTCATATTTAGGTGAGTCTTAGATAGCACGGGTAGTTATTAAGTGAGAAGACTGTAAACTGGTATGTTTGATATAGGGTCTTTGAATTGATACTATTATAGTAGACTTTATCCCTTGCTTGGTATGCCCCTAGAGTAGGAGAATAGCTCTGAACTGGGTTAACAATTCTGGTGCGTTGTTTATACGTTTCAGTACTATTTATGTTGTTTATACCTTGCATGTGTTGTTTAAGTCAGATCAGATGTCCCAATATTTCATAGGATATTTGAAGTCTGACATACCAGAATTTCAATTGGTATCAGAGCAGGCATCTTGTTCTATTTCTGGATGAGATCCTGGGATGATACTTTCTTGTCATGGGCAAGGAAAGAGGTTGTTACTGAAAAGTTGTTTAAACTTGAATAGTTCATATTGTTGTTTGAAAGGTCCCTAGAAGTGGAGGTTCATGACAAGGTGTGTATTGGACATGTATGTGATGTTATCAGGCATGTAGTTTTGGTGGTGAGCTGCTATGTTAGGTTTGATTTATTTTCAAACCTAGGTTGTTGTATTCACACCTGGACTATGGTGGATGTATGCAAGGTTTTTCTGTTGTGCGTGAAGGTTGTTGAGGAGTTTTCTGGTTTTTGTTCCGCTGCATACGTATGGAGAACTGACTTTTAGTTTTACGTTTTATCGCAAATATTACGGATAGCAAGAGTCACCATCGACTTTTCTTTTATCCAATAAAGAAAATGGTGAAAAGAACAGGAAAGACCTTTGAGAATTTTCTGAGTTCGGGGGGTAGGTTATGAAAAAGGGAAGGTGTTATCACCCTTTTCATCTGTAGTTATATACGGCTCTTAATCGCTAGCTCACTTTTGAAATTCTTTGTGTATGTGTAAGTTTGAAAATATTTTAAAAAGACCTAAGTTCGGCAACTTTGTAATGATTCTCGTATCATTGAGAACGCATACAAAGTGTTTGTTTTTGAAAATATTTTAGAAAATAGTGTATGTGTGAAAATGTTTTTGATTTGTGAGCAAGCGACTACGAGTTATCTACCTACTCAAAAGTCTCTGTTCCTTTTCTCCTTTCCCTTAGATAGAGTTATCCTACCATTCGTTCGTAGGAAGCCCTATCATTGGATGTTTTAGGGACAGGAGTGGGTCATCGTACAATCATAAGGGCAACTCGTAGGATACTTTAGCAATTGTCATAAGGGACTAAGATCATCTACCGAGGCAAGATCAAAGGGTCATCGAGGGACTACGATCTTTTAACCGAGAGTCTTTGCTAAATCTTCCCACGTTCGAGAGACGTGACTATTTTTATCTGAGGCAACAAGTGAGGGTCACCCTAGAGGTGCGTGTGTGTGAAGTGTGTCATGTTTCAGTTATTTTTGTCTTAGATTTATGGTTCTCTAGCGTTTGCTTTTAGTCTTTGCCATATAATCCTATTAAACTAGCAGTAATAAGGAAAGCGATAAATTACATAAAAATAAATCTAAACTATTACAGAGCTTCGAGGATGGGGAGTACAAACCATAAAAATGTGGAAAAAGTAAAGAAACCCTAATTTATCTATTAGATCCCTTGTCAGTTACATAATTATGAAAATAATAATGCGAAAATAAATGGGTGCGCGGAGATTGTGAAAAAGGGAAAGATATTAAAACCTAAAAAATTATAAGCGTTAGAAAAATATTTTTGGTGTTTTGTTTAGAAAAATATTTTATAGTGTAAAAATGATAATTAAACTTAATTCAAATTAGTTTACTAGTTAAGTAAAACCAAAATGTGATTAAATTAATTTTATTTTATTTATCAAAAATTAGATTAATTAATCAAAAACCTAAATCAAATTTTAGTGATTTTTGTGATTTTTTTCTGATTAAATAAAATTGATTAAAAGGAAAATAATTAATTAAAACAAAAAAAAGAAATTAAATGGGCCTACTGAAAAGAAAACTGGGGGGTGTGAGAAACCAAATGCTAAGCCCAAATTGACAAGGCACGGGATCTGCGTTGGATACAGTGAGGGTGGTTCTGTGAAGTCTATGGTGTACGTGTTGATCTAGAGCGTTGGATCAACATCTGTTGAGATCCAAGAGTGATGGTGAGAAGACACATGGTAGGCGTGCTGAGTTCGCTTGCATTGGATCTGTAAAAGAAAATCATGAAAAATAACATGTCATGGGCAGGGATCGAACCCATGCCCTGGCACACTAACAACTTAACACACACATGCTTACCGCTAGGGCGGTTATTACATTCGGTATGTGTTGTACCCCAAAATTTGCCCTCGCATTTTACCACAAGAAATCCCAGCTTCAGGCTTTCCATGATCTTTCGAACTGGCTCAAGAATCGGTCAAACGGACTTTTCTCGTCAGTCAAACAAAAATTAGGGTTTTACTGGTTTTCATGGCTCTAGAACAGTTCACACAGTTGGCTTAGGGTTTTGGTTGTTTCTGGCTCAATTTTGATCAGGCGAACGTTCTTTGGCATTTAATCAGGAATTAAGGTTTTTGTGGGCATATTCTCAGAAGGTTAAAATTCCACAGCACTTTGCAAGTTATTCCGAGATTCGGGTTGAGTTCGCATTGTTTTGAAAAGAGACAGTTGGTTTGAATTCACGTTGGTTTGTTTGAGCCAGTCAAAAGAAATATGCAGTATTGGATTTACAGTGCTTGGTAAGAAATCAGTAAGAAAGGAATGCGTCTGATCAGTTATTGCGTTTGACTGTGCGATTGCTTTAGATGATGGAGGCGCCAAGTTCATTTATTTTGATCAACGAAGAATCAATATTTAGTTGATTATTTATTATTTCTAAGGATTAAATATCTGAAATTTAATTTTCATTTGTTTTAATTTAAGGAACTATAAATAATAAGTAAATAATTGAAAAAAGGATAAAAAGAATTAAATGGATCAATAGAATTTTTATTTCATATTTAAACATTTGTTACAATTATTATTTAGATACAAGTATGCATTTACGAAGTATTTAAAATAATAATAGTTTACAATGATTAAATTGAAATTAAAACTATCCTATTTTTTCTAAATATTTTCTAAGTCCCTAAGTCTTCATTCATCACTTTGTTCCCCTCCATCCAAGTATTCATCTGCAAAAAGAAAAGGAAAAAAGTCAGTGACTGATAAATAATGAAAAGACAGATAAAAAGAGTTCATCATTAAGGGCCACTGATTGGGATCAGTTAACCCTCTCTGCAAATCACGGGATTTCTCCCGGTTCACAAAGAGGGAAGAATTTTATTTAATCATGAATGCAAAGTTGAGAAAAAATGCAAAGTGTCAAAATGCAAAGTGTCAAAACTGCATAAATTCAAAATCTCAAACTGCACAGTTCAAACCAAACTGAAAATCCAAATTGCAACTTTCTGTCAAAATCCAAAAGTGTCAAACTTACTGTCAAAAATGCCAAAGGTA